TATACTATGTATCAGTCGTTAGATGTACTGTGGTGGAGTCTCTTCTGAACTCTATTTCTGTGGTATTTAGTTTATGGGTAATCTAGACATGATTTAAAGTATATAGGAGGGTGTGCATTGGTTATAGGCTAATACTATGCCATTTTCTTTCTTTCTTCTTCTTTCTTTTAATTGTCAGAAGATGTTTGCACTTGCCAGAGAGAGCAAGCGAGAGAGAAAGCACAACCCAATGGGACATGGTCACACCACAGACCCATCTCTTCCATTTCTCGACCCCACTGGGATTTGCAATGCATTTGCACTGACACTCAGAATGTTTTTCAAGCCCCTGGGGCTGGGATTCAAACAATTGGCCATGTGGGATCCAGCTTCCTTAACTACTGGGCTGTAGGGCCAACCTGTACACTATGCCACTTTGTGTTAGGGACTTGAGCTCCTGCAGATTTGGTATCTACATTATGGGGGTGGGAAGGGTCTTGGAACAATCCCTTATAGAAACCGTGGGACAATTGTACTCAAGAAATTTTTCTGAATGAATGAATGGATGTCAGCCTTCCTCCCTCTCGGGGGGGGGGGGGCTTCTTTGCTTTATCACCAATTCCTCAGCACAGGTGAGACACTCGATACATATTTGTTGAATGAATAAGTGAGTGCCTAGAGAGCCGCCTCTCATGGTCTCAGCTTCTCAAACCTCAGACGAGTCTCCCTTTAGGCTCATGTACGTGGATGAAAGGTGTAGAATTCACCAGCCTGCTGTTCCCGTAGCTCCCTTACTTCACTTGGTGGTAGTTGGGGGTCTCCAAAGGGAACAGCTTAGTTACAAGGGATCAGTCATCAGGAGGTACCTGTGAACAGTTCCACTAGAACCATGGCCCTCATTGCCAGATAACTGGCAACTTCTACAGCTACCACTTGACGGCATCCATGGAAGAGAGGGTCAGCTTCCTGTGTCCCCACCTCTGCACCCCTGCCCCTCTCTTCTCGACTTTCCTCTTCCTTTTAGAAGCCTAGTGACTGCAAGCCAGCTATCTGCAGCTAGCTTCCTTGACTTGCAAGCTAGGCTGGACAGTTTAATAGCTCTGGGCAAGTTACTTCACCTCTCTGTCTGTTTCTGCATTTATAAGATGAAAATAATATGAGACCTATCCCCTGGAATTATAAAGATGAAATTAATTAATAAATATTAAGTTCCTAGAATAGTGCCTGGCCTATGGCAAGTTCTACGTAGCATTTGTTGTTGTTATAAAACACTTATTTAGTAAATGTTCAGTTGCGATATTTTTCTAGACTGTCTTGAAATTTCTTTTGTTTCAACGCCCTTCAGATAAAATCTTTTTGTTTTCTTTTAATTTCTACTATAGGGCACATGAGCTTGCCAGAGAGAGAGAAACAGAGAGAGAGACAGAAAGTGAGAAATCACTCCCCCCTCCCCCTGTGTAGGATGGCCACACTGCAATCCCTTCTCCATTCTCCTCTTGAGAGTGCCCAGCGTGATTTCCAAACCAACATGTCCTGGACTTGATCTGTGTAGTCGGCCATATGGGATCGAGCCATCCCGATCTCCACACCACCCGCTGGCCCCTTTCCAGGTGAAACTTAAAGATAACCCCAACACCAAAAACAATTTAAGAGAGCAACTCCGGTCATATTAAGGGTGAGTGTCCTAGAAGTTCTCAAACCCCTCATGTTCTCCCTCAGACAACTGGAAAATAATGCTCCTCAAAGTACCTGGAGGTTGGTTGTGTACCCTAGTGGTTAAGGAAGCCAGATCCCACATGGCCAACTGAGGTTCAAGTCCTGTGTATGTGCATGTGTGCTCGGAATTCTGATAGGATGGAGAAATGGAGAGGGGGTTGTGGTGTGACCACACTATGCTGAGGGCAGCTTTCTTCCCCACCTCTCTGTCATCTCTCTCTGGTGAACACATGCAATCCCTGACAATGAAAGAAAGAAAGAAAGGAAGGGGGAGGGAGGGAGGAAGAAAGAGAAAGAAGGAAAAAGAGAGCAAAGGAAGGAAGGACGGAAGGAAGGAAGGAAGGAAGGAAGGAAGGAAGGAAGGAAGGAAATTTTGGGACCAGAATCAGAATCACTAGGTTATCAAAAATGTAGAGTTTGGGGCCCCCACGGGCCCGCCGAATCAGATTCGCAGGGCAGCGCATGGGAACCTGCGTTTAACGTCTCCAGGTGCTTCTTAAGCACAAAGGGCATTTCAGCAGCTTCCAAGTACCATTTGAAGCCACCTTCATTTGCACCCTTACTTCCCCCTTCCCCCACTCCTGTCCTGGGGAAACTCCTTTAGGGTACTGGGAGTCCTGCAGGGCTGTGCTAATCCACTGTTCGTTTTTGCCCTGAGGGCCGTGAGGAGGAGGATGGTGTCCAAGCTGGGCAATGGGGCAATGGCACTGTGCACAGACGGCAGGTCCCCTGGCTGGCATTGCCCTCCTGCTGTGCTGGCTGCACCCTCCACACCACCCCCCAGCCCCCCACTGGCTGGCTATTGCCCAAGTCTGGATTAAGGTCTACACAGGCCTTAAGCCCAGACTGGCGCCATTCCATCCCAGCTCTGAGGAATTCAAGAGAGAGTACCGAACCTTAAAATAGGTCAAGATAGACCAGCATGTTCTGTTTTTCTTTTTCATGGTGATTACTCTTGAGGCCTTTTTAAAAAAGTTTGAATTCCATTCACACCAGCTTGTTTTTCCCTTTTATTTGGGGGCTGTTCCGCTTTGCTGGTTTTGTGAGCACACGCCTTGTCAAGTTGGAGGCAGTCTTGCGCTGCACCTAAAGCTCTCTTGTTCTGCCTGCCTTCCACAGGCCTGGATGAAATCCAGTGCTCCCTGCCCACGGAGAGCAGGAGGGTGTCCCTGCGTGAGCTGTCAGAGGCCAGCTTCAGCGAGTGCAAGTTCAGCCTGTCGCTCACAGACCTGTTCATCATCATCTTCTCGGGCGTGGTCGTGTCCATCGCCGCCATCATCTCCAGCTTCTTCCTGGCCACCGTGGTGCAGTGCTTTCAGAGGTGTGCTCCCAACAAGGACACGGAGGACGAGGACGACGATGAGGATGACTGAGCCTCCTCCTCCCATCCCTCGCTTTCCAGCATCCAGCCTGTGGCTCCTCTCCATGAAGAGAGGGAAGTGCCAACGACAGAAAAGCACTGGCAATTGCCAGTGAACAGAACTGAGTCTTGGACCCTGGGCGCACCCACTGGGACCACCAGCCTCAGAGTTTAGGGTCAGCAGAACAGAGAAGCCCAAGAAGGCCCAAGGGAATCAGCCTGCCTCTTAGGTTGAGGTGTGTGCTGTGGGGAGGGGAGGAGTTGACTAAGTCAGGCTTTATAGCTAACAGCTAAACCCCGCAAGGAGAGATGAAGACTTGTAACTCTCAACCACGAAGATTAATTTGTGCTGCTCTTTCTCTGACCTGGACTGGGAGACCATGAAGCATTTCCTTTCTCCCAAGAGACAGCAGCTCAAACAGTGAGGATTCACATTCAGGTCATTTTCCATGGGAGCAGGAAGTCTGCCATTTCTGTGACAGGTCCAGCAACTTGGGATAGCACATCAGGAACTAATAAACCCTGCCCGATAGGCTGAGTCTGTGTGTCCCATCAACATTCATATGTACAACTGAATCCTCGATGTGATGCTGTTTGGAGCGGGCGCCTTTGGGAAGTGCAGCCCTCATGAATGGTATTGGTGCTCTCATCAAAGAGACCCCAGAGAGCTCCCTGGCCCCTCTATGGTGCGAAGACAATGGGAGAAGTTGACCGTCTACAAACCCAGAAGCAGACCGTGCTGGCACCCTGATCTCAGACTTCCAGCCTCCAAAACTGTGAGGAATAAATGTCTGTTGTTCATAAGCCACCCAGTCTTGCTATTCTGTCCACACAGACTAAGACACCATGTTGAGCTAAAGTTGCACCAAAGAGAAAGCTTACTAGCCAAAGGTTATTTGTAGTTATATTTTATAAGTAGGTTGGAAAAAAATTATTGACAGGACTCAAACCCAATCCCTGTCCTAAGAGGTAACAACTTGTGTGGGAAAGATAGTCAGTCCTCTGGGCAGTCGTGGAGGTCTCTGTGCTCAGAGTCACTCTTCCCTCTGAAGTTCAATCAGGTTATTCCTCCCATGTACACCCACTTCCTGAGTCGCTTCTCAGCCAAATAATGTGTGACCATTCCCTACTGGATGCGTTTCCAGACTTGTTATTTCTAGAACTTTTGGTAAAAGTTACTAGAGGCCAGGGCTCCCATAATAAGCAGGTTACATTGGACCAACAAAATATTCAGAAAAGATCTTGGGGCCCAGCCGCAGTGGTGTACACTGCCAAGATACTGTGGTCCCCAGGTTGGGACCACACGGGGGTTCTGGGTTCAGTTCCCAGGCCATCCTTTGGGTCAGACACAGTGGTGTGCACCTATAGTCCCACAGTTTGGGAGGCTGAGGCAGGAGGATCACAGACTCAAGGCTGGTCTGGGTGACACAGCCCTATCTAAACGAGAGCCAGGTGCCAGGTGTGGGGGCAAGACCCCAGTTCCCGCTGAGGCCTTGAGGTAGGAGGGTCATGACAGCAAGACCCCGTCTAAAAAGAAAGCAAAAACAAACCACTTGGATTGCCTCTGAAAAACCTCTATGCTATGCATGGCCTTAGGGTGTATGTGACATTTCTTTGGAGCACAGGCAGTGACAGGCAGCGTTTTCCAGGTTGTGGGATGCAGCACGTTGGTTCAGAGACCACTGAGACAAACGAGTCTTGCATCCCAGCACGTCCACCAGTGTGAGATGCAAGATGACCTGTGTGAGTAGCTGGGATCGGGCCGGGACTGGGATTGGATGAGAGACTCATGAGAAGCTCCTGGGATGTTCTGGGGAACCACTTCTTTGTTGTCCCCCATAATATTAGGTCATTGGGAAAGTCATGACGTGTTTTTCTACATTCTTTTTTATGCAGAAATATGTCATGGCTTTCCCGCTGGCCCAGACAGACCTTATGTTTCCCTTCTCTGTTGCTCCCTTCCCTTTGCTCCCATAAATAATGACTGAGTGCTTGCTGAGTACCAGGTGCTGCTCCAGGCATTGCACTGAATGAGGACATCAAAGTCCCTGCTCTCCTGACCCTAGTGTTCTTCTGGGTAGGAAAAAAAAAAAGAAACAAACAAAAACAAGGAAACAAACTGTCATCGTAGGTAGCAATGGGCTCCACGAAGGCAAGAAATGACATCCTGTGACAGAGAGTGACTCAGGAGCCACTCCAGAGTGGGCAGGGCGTGTGTCGGTCACAGGACTCCAGAGAAGAGAACCAGCAGGAGATTTACAAAGCAGTGTATTGATGTGTTTTGTTTTGTTTTGTTGGAGAGGTTCTTGCTATATGGTGCATGTGTTCACTGGAAAGATAGAGAGAGAAAGAGAGACAGAACGTGAGAAATCACCCCCCCCGGGGGGGGGCAGGGATAGCCACACCGCAATCCCTTCTCTTTATCCCCCTCTTGGGATCTTCAGCATGCACGCATACGTCCCCAGTGTGAGTTTAAGCTGCTGGCTCTGGGACTCGAACCATGGTCAACTACATGGGATCCCAGCGACACAACTATTATGCCATCTGCTGGTCCCCAAAGCAGTGTATTGTAATGAGTCACCTTGTGTGAGTATGGAGGGTGAGAAGTCCCATCATCTGCAGTTGGCAAGTGGGGGACAGGAGAGCCCGTGGTGTAGACCGAGGGCAAGAGAATATCGATGCCCAGCTCGGGTCAGGCAGAGAGAGTGACTGCTCCCTTCTTCCACCTTTTCCTTCTATTCAGACCCTCGATGGATTGGGTGATGCCAACACATCGGGGAGGGCTATCTGCTTTACTCAGTCTGCCCATTCAAATGGTGATCTCAATCAGAAATTCTCAGGAAAGCATACAAAAGTGTTTAGCCACCCCAAGGCCCAACCAAACTGACATAAAATTCACTGTCATCTCCCAGAGGGCCTCTGACTGGGCTTGCAAGCTAAGTCCTCCCTCCTTCTCTTATCTCCTTACCTTTTTTCTCCTTTTTCCAGCTCTTCTGCTTTCCTTTTGTACTCTTCTTTTCCGCCATCCAGCCTTGAGACTCCCGGTCATGTCTTCTACTCCCCAGCACCGTGGCTCCTCGCAGGAGCCTGGGCAGGTGGAGACATGAGCAGCATTTTCCCAGACGCCATGGCAACCCCCTTGTGTGGGCTCGGATGCTCAGTGCAGGTAACACTCCAGTTGATGAAATTACACAGGAAACAAATTGCTCATCCCGAACCACTAGGTGCTGCCTGAATTCCTGTCTGAAGGTTCCAGGCATTGTTTGTACTTTATGTGAATGAAGTTTCCTAGAGAAGGTTTTCAATTAAGGAGGAATACTGAGGCCATGGAAGGGAAGTCAGCACAAAAGATCCTTGAAGGGCCCCAAGGGGCTCAGAGGTGGGGAGTTTGAGACACAAATCAACCTAGTGTCAGCACCTCCCCAGCCTGGCCACAGATTTGAGATGTGTGGGGTTGGAACTGAGGCCTTTACCTACCCCTCACCCCAGGAGTACCACTATCAGGAAAAAAGGCCCAAACCCAACAGGGCCCTACCAAAGTCAGAAGGTATTTCTCCCAGGATCCTGGGGAGATGGCACCCCAAGCTGTGGAAATAGCACTAACCCTTGTAATAGGTGTCGTGGAGGAATTCCCACCCAATGAGCGACCCCTCCTCTCCGCCTTCAGGGTCAGTTTGGTTCAGCCATGCCAGCTGCCTCCCTGGCAAGCCCTGTGCAGCATAGCATAGGGGCCAGGGTCATTCTCTGAATGAATTAGTGAATAGGGAAGGGTCATTCATTCCTTCAGACTGCACCCCCAGAGTTTAAGAATGAACTTGATTATTGAAAAGAAGAGGACTGTAAAAATATTGCCAGCTGAAACGGTCACTCGCTGCCTGGATATACAATTTCTATGAAAGGGCCGGCTCTGAGGTCTGGAGGTTTAGGCAGCCAGACCCCACACAGCCAATGTGCAGTCTGAGTCGCAGACTCGATGACTTGAAAAACACGCTAGGCACACGTGCATGTGTGCCCAAAATCATGAACAGAGAGAGAGATAGAGGAGAAGGGATCGTGGTGTTTTGGAGGGTGTTTTCTCACTTTCCTTCTCTGTCTCTCTGTCTCTGGCAAATGCACATGCCTGCCAGCAAAATTAAAATAGAAATTAAAAATTATGTGAAACACTGGGAACATTAGGATGGGGACAGGACAGAGCATCTGTTCAAGAAAACTCATTGACCTAGAGCCACAACTCAACTAGGGAAATGCCTTTTGAGACGTGACATTGCACACAGAATAGGCAGTGATTGAGAGCTCCCTTGCTTGCCCTAGGGCCTCAAGTTCTTGCCATTATTAACAACATCTACAATGTCACACAGTAATTGAGGGCCTCCTAAGAAATGCCTCCCCCATCTCTCTGCAGGTGTCCTTTGGGTCTTAGCTCAAATGTCACCTCCTCTGAGTCATTCTCTGCACAGCATGTCACATGAGCCGATTGCTCTACTTGCTCGGTCATAGGTTTATTGTCTACCTCCCTGGACTAGACCGTGAGCTCCCCAAGGGCAGGCACATGGGCTCCTTGTGTCCCCAGCATTTAAAACAACACCTGGCGGGGCCAGCAGATGGCATAGTAGTTATGTCACTGGACTCCCACATGGCCGACTGTGGTTCAAATCTAGACCTAGTGGCTTGGAAGTCAAGTGTGTGCATGTCCGAGATTCTGGGAGGAGAATGGAGGAGAAGGGATTGTGCTGTGGCCATTCCACCTGGGGGTGGGGGGGTGGTGGTGGTGGTGATTTCTCACTTTGCCTCTCACTGTCTCTGTCTCTGTCTCTCTCTCTCTTTCCAATGAGTGCACTTTCCCTACGAAAAAATCTCTAAAAATAAGTAAATAAAACAATGCATGGCACATAGAGGTGGCCTAGCCACCTGTTGGTCCCAAGAGCACAGGCATGAGTCCCTGTGCTAGCTACTCTTTGGACACGAGCTCTATTTAAACACTAACAGCTCCAGGGTAGAGGCCACCACTGTCCCAGTTTTATAGAGAAGGAAACTGAGGCTCAGCAGAAGTAGGTAGATGGCGTGAAGGACAGACAGAGCCAGAACAGATTTGACCGGACCAAGCCTGTGCTCCTGGTTATGACCAAGGCCATGCTTATTGAGAGTACTCTGTGCTAGATGCTGGGTCAGGCCCTTTCTGTGGATTTCCTCCTTTAAGTGACCCACTGTTAATAAAGCAGGTACCAATACTACTTCCCCTTGACAGTTTTACCAGCTCCATTTGGTTTGGGACAGGACTGATTTGAACCTGAGAGTAACTCGCCTAATAGGACACAGCCAATTGGTGATGGGGCAGGATTTGGCCACAGGTGCTCTGACCATTGCACAGCACTGTCTCCACTCAACCACAGTCCCTTCTCAGGCCCACAGGAGCAGGCCTGCAGGAGCATGGAGTGTGTGCTGAGCTTCTGGGGAAACGGCCTGCAGTGGCTATGGCGCCCAGCCTCAGATCCAACATCTCAGACCCTCCACGTCTTGTCTATCTTATTCTCCTTAGGATCCATGACCAGAGGATTCCAGCAGCTTCACAGCTAAATGCATCTTACCGAGATGAAGAGGGTCCTACCAGTGTGGCCCTTGGACCTGGCCAGCAGGAGCTCTGTCCTGATCCAGCGCTTTAGACGGCCGAGCTCTAGACCTCCTTTAGCTGTACTTTTCCCTCAGGAATGAGGAATCCATGGAACCTAGAGCATATGCCCGCCAGGAGTCAGTGTCCCCTTCTAGAACATTCTCTGGGTACTCAGGCCCCAGGATATCCTGCA